AGCTCTGTAGAGCATGAAGCCCATCTCATCGATTTCCTCCTCCAGCAGCTCGCAGAAGAGGTTGATTTTGGGGTTGAAATAGGAAGGGAGGACGCCCTTCTCCAGGTAGCCTACCAGCTCCTCAAGCACCTGCTGGAACCTGGCAGCGAGGTTTTCCTCTGCCCAGTCCGAGCCGGCCGCACCGAGGTGGAGGACGACGTGTGTCAAGGGGCTGCCGCTCAGTTTGCGCAGCGAGGGCTGCCTCTTGCAGAGCCCGTTGAGGATGCGGAGGCAGCTCTGCCTCGCGCCGGAGTCACCAGCATCCAGTTCCTTCACCCGCGACACCTCGGCCCTGTAAAAGCTCTCAAGCCAGAGGTTTTCCACCGGTCCTTCCGGAGGAGCAGCCAGAAGAACCTTGTCCTCCATTTCCACCACTGGGAAGAGGGTCACATTCAGCTCGACCTGCTCGTGTTTGACTTCCAGCTTCAGCTCCTCGGAGGCTACAACCGGCCGGATGACGGTCCCCAGCAAGCTGCCTATGGCAGGCCAGTTGATGGAGGCCACCAGCATCTTGTGGAGCGTTTCATTGAGCGCGTTGGAGGAGAGGTATCTGCCCACAATGAACCTGTCCCAGGGGCTGCGCCCGCGAGGGAAGTACTCCAGATCTGTCCTCTTGACCATGCAGTACCGGGGGTTCCTCACAACAGTCTCCTCTCCCGGGATGAGGCTCCAGAGAGCGGGGTCAAGGACCACGGGCAGCATGAGGTCGACACGGTCGACAGCGAGAGCCTCGAGGCCGTCGAGCAGGGGGCCGCTGAGGAAGAGGCTGCCGAAGGGCAGCTCCGGGCACTTGCTCCGCAGGAAGGTCTGCAGTTCCGCGCAGATGCCCCTGGCCAGCTGCTGCGCCAGGGCCACGTGCTCCTCGGGGACGGCGAGGTGGCTGCTGTAGTGCACGAGCAGCTTCTCCTGCAGCGTGAGGCAGCGCTGAGGGCTGGATTCCACCTCAAGGGTCTGTGGAGGGGCAGAGCAGTCCCCGGGCTCTGTGAAAAGGGGACGGGGGCGGAAAAAACAGTCAGCAAGAGCGAACCGAGTGGATCATCCACAACCCAGAGCAGCGGCTTCTCCTGCCACATCCAAGGGGAAGGCTCAAACTGACCTTAAAACCACACAGGACCCGGCACGACCTCCTGGCTGGAGATGGATAAACCAGCCCAGCCACAACAGCCAGAAGGGAACTAAGCCCCAGGGTCTCTCGCAAGCCTCGGCCCCAGTTTTTGTCTCCTGCGAGTCTGGTGCCTCAGGGCACCACGCAGGGCATGTTTCCTGCTAGCAAAAAAAAGCTGGTTTTGAACCCACTGGCTAAGGCAGCGTTTCTCGAGGGCGATTCAAGAGCACGCGCTCCTCTCCAGCCAGAGCTGACCCAAAAACAAGCAGAGCAGATGCTGCTCACGCAGAATCTCATGTTTCTGGCTAACAAAAAAAGCTGGTTTTGAACCCACTGGCTAAGGCAGCGTTTCTCGAGGGCGATTCAAGAGCACGCGCTCCTCTCCAGCCAGAGCTGACCCAAAAACAAGCAGAGCAGATGCTGCTCACGCAGAATCAGAGCCCAGGCAGCCTCCGGCCGCGCTCACCGAGACGCTGGGGCCGCTACCGGCAGCGTTACCTAAAAAGGGGCCGCAGCTGAGGAGCCTCCCGCTAGGAGAGTCACCACGGGGTCAGCTCGACGGATACGGAGCTAAAAATACCCCAGGCTAACGGGGAGCCAGGAGCGGAGCCGAGCGGGACGGCCAGGCCAGGGTGACCCAAAGCAGCGCGGCAGGAGCGGCGCCACCAGCCTCACCTGGCGCCGGCGGCCCGCCCGGGGCGGGGAGGGGGCCCCGGAGGG